CGGGCGGGTAGGGGAGCGGGCGTCGCTGGGGACTCTTGTTTTAAGCGATGAATGCCGTATTTTCTAATCCCGGTACCGTTTTCTTCAGCGGACGTCAGGCCACCCGTAAGACGCTCCTCAATTCTGTGTGCAGGCAAAACTCGTACAAGTTTGGGGTGGGGGGGGCACAGAGCAACTTCGTCTGTTCTCTAGTAATCGTGCTTTAGTAACCAAGTGATGCAATGTCAGTCAACTAATACTCGTCTTTATCTCAGGCTGCTGACCAACTTTTTTTTCTGCTTTCCAAGATTACTCTACGTTCAGCAAATTCCACTTTTCAAATCATGGAGGCAGAACAGATTATGGAGGGACAGCCGCAGGTATTGCAAGAAATGTTTTATGTGCGTAATGCTATATGCATAAAAGGAGCATTTTCACTTTGCTGATCGTGTGTTATTTTACAGGTTCCAGAAAATCCCCATTCTGAATATGGTCTCACTGAAAATGTAGAGGTAACAAAGATTTTGTTGCTATAAAGTACAGCGGAAGTTATGCTCCTGATCAAGGGGAAAAATGTTGAGTCTTGAGTCCAACTTCAGCAAATGTAATGTTCCCAAGAAAGTTAGATCGAAACTGAACCAACAGATACTAGTCCCTTGCATAACTGGCTGCACATATATTTTCTGTTGTGTTGCTTCCATTATACTAAATGGGACTGAAGTAAATAATGAACCTTTTAATGAGGTGAGGTTTTTTGGAAGTATCCTATGATCATTATCTATTCTATTGCTATCTGTTATATATCTGTATGTAATATATTATGACACAAAAAGCCAGCCAGACTTTTATTACAGGGAGGGGAACAGGAGCAGTTGATGATGTTTCTATAGAAGTATCAAAGGGAGGGATTCTTCTCCTCTTCTTGTCAATAGAAATACTGGATCAGAATAATCCAAGCTACCTTTAATTACTTATGCTGAGAAAGAGTAGACACAATCCATTCTCTCTGCTGTTGGTAACAGCGTGGGTTAGAATAATAACACTATGACGTTTATTTACTATTCCTTGTTAAAGGAATGCCATCAGTCTCCCTCCATTATCAGCTCCTACTCTATGCTAAGATTTTGCAGAAACTTCTCTTAAATGTCCTTTGTGACTCATTGCCCTGATAACTGCTTGTCTGTATGCCTCCACTTCCACTACAGAACCATAACACATTGGATACATTGGTCCCATATCAGTAGATTTGTGTAGGTTGCGTTGAATACATTTGGTTTACTGGCAGTAGTAGGGTGTCCTTTTTTAACTACAGTTAATGGCGTGAGATGATTGAGCACTTTTTGACCAAAAGGTACCTGGAAGCATTTTGCATGTTTTCTTTAAAGTGCCCATCTCTACTTCAATAGAGCACGGTCTCGGAGTGCTTGACTTTAACTGAGTCCCCTTTGTCAGACTTCACCTGAATTTCTTCTGCTTTTAGCATTTTGTGTTAGAAGTGCATACATACAGGAACCATTTAATTGAGACTGCTTTTGTTAGTAGTCATTCCTGTCTCAGTGGTGTACAACTTAAATCTGTGAATGCAAAAGCAGAAATAAAAATGATGGAGATTGCATGTCTTCTGTTTTAGGAAACTTTTGAGTTCCTAACATTGTTTCCCCAAAACATAAGAATTTAACAGAAGGCTCCTCTGGATTAGGTTTTTGTGCAAGGAAAAATATGCACTTACATTTTCTTAAAACTGATGTAATGAAGCTATTGCCAGTGAATTGCAGAGAGACGGGTACTTCCTTTGCACTCACATTTCAAAGTAGATGTGGCTGCTATTACCAATGTTCATTCACTTTATTTTTTTCTACTTCAGAGGATAGTAGAAAATGAGAAAATAAATGCAGAGAAAACATCAAAGCAGAAGGTGGATCTCCAGTCGTTACCCACACGTGCCTACTTGGATCAGACAGTTGTACCTATCTTGCTACAGGGACTTGCTGTTCTTGCAAAAGAGAGGTAAGACGCTTCAATGTTCCGTCTGTTCTTAGGAGAAAAGTACGTCTCAGACTCGGGTGGTATGTCACCTTTTCAGACCTCGCACACCAGACGTGGTTTTGCTAGTTGTAAGCAAGTCACTGCAACTGGTTTATGAACCTCTGAATTACTTTCTAAAGGATGAGGCTGACCCTCTGCTGTCAACACAGTAAGAAGCAGACTGATAGTTTATCCTTTGAGTAAAGATTATGCTGTCAAGGTGCCCTGAATCTCTTATCAGACAATGTAGAAGGGTATCCTTCAATAAAAGCAAACAGTTGTTCATCTTGCCCAAATCAGTTTCTAGCCTTCGGGTGTATCTGAACTATTGCCGAGTCATACTGCATGTAACCATTTCTCAGTTTTGCCAAAATAACATTATGAAAAGCTGGTGTGGATGACCATAATCGCATCGTGGTCCCTACAGCCAGAACAACCATCAACAGTGTCTTAACCTCAAAACGAGTTGGGAATTTGAGCTGCATTGTACAGACAGCGGACTAGGGAAAAGATCACCTAGGAAGGTCCACCCAGTGCGTACACCTAGGCAGTGTGCAGGTCTGCAGTCGACGTCTGTGGGAGTTCTGCTGCAGCTGGAATGTAAAACACAGCCTGAGGCGGATAGCCCGCACGTACAGTCTGGACACTTGTGTTACAGTCAAACTTTTTTTTTTTTTTAATCTTTCTTCACTGTGGAAGGAGCTGTTCTTTATGGGGACTGATCACAGGAGTGAAACTGGAACGTTGATAGAAGAGGTTGGGGAACATATAGGGAAAAAAACCTAACAGTATCAAACTGCCAAGGTCAAATTGGCTGTTCAGTTGAGCATACTAAAACCTCGGGGTGAAAAAGCTGAACTACCAGCTCTGCTGTATAATCTTTTGCTTAAAATTGAACTGGAAAGTAACTAATGGATGCTAATTTCTTTTTCTAAGGAGTATAGAGATGTTCAGGGAACAGCCCAGTACACGTGAAGACTATGCCTGGAATCCAGTAGAAATTATTGTCCAGGATAGTGGGCGTACGGATAAATGACATATTTGGGAGGAGTCAACACAACTTTTGTTAGGTCTTGTAAGGCTCTTGGAGTTTATTGAAGGAGTCAGCAAGCACACGTAAACAGGAATCCAGATGATACAGCCTGTTTAAATTTCCAAAAGGTTTCTGGCGCAGTCATTCACTAAAAGCTTTTAAAGAGAGTTAGTTGCTGTGGGATTAAAGGAAAAACCTTTCTATGGACAAGGAACTGATTAGAAGATAAAAGAGAGGGGGCAGACATTAATGGTGAATTTTCATGGTGACACGAGCTCAACACTAGAATCCTGGAAAGGATAATTTATAACAATTTGAAGAAGTGGCTGACAAAATTTGTTAATGATACTGAGTTGTACAGAATAGGCTGGGGTTTTTGTTTTCTGTTTTTTCTTTTGTTTAAGTTGATCAGTTGTAAATAATTGCACGGGAACTTTGTGAACTCAATGTGAAACTATAGAAGACTGCTATGAAAAATTGAAAGTATGACAAAAAGTGAAAGATTGAATACAAATAAACAGAAAATGATGTGCCTAGGAGGGTAATAAATACCCTAATGCTGGTGACAAAATGATAGATTCTGAGTTGACAACTACCCTTGTGAAAAAACATCTTTAAACTGTTAAATGTATATGTCAGTACATTGCTCAATCAAAAATAAATTCTGAATGGTAGGAGTTAGAAATCGAAGGTGCAAATCCAATGTCCCTATTTAAATTTATAATGTTCTTGTATTTTTAATATTGTGTGTAATTCCAATTCCCCGTATTCTGGTAGAATGTGAAAAAGTAGGAAGAGTGACAAGGTGGTCAGAAGTATGGAATGCCGTCTGCATACGGAGTGACTGAATAGATGATACCTAGAAAAGAGACTTCTGTGAGAGAACACATTAGGAATCTGTTAAATCACAAATAGCACAGAGATGATGAATTGGGATGGATTGTCCGATGCAGTAATCTAATTAAGCAAAGCAGGTGGCAAATTCATAATGAACAAAAGGAGGTGATACTTCATAGGTCGCAGAATTAAGCTATATCATTTTTTGCCTCAAGATGAGGACATTAAGATTTTATTGGGGCTCAAGGAGCAACTGGTCAAAGTTGTAGAGGAGTCCACCCAGGACTATTAAAGGTGCTAGCTCAGAAATTGGTACGTGCTTGAAAGCCAAAAGGATGGTCCAGAGAAGTATCTCTCTGCACTTCTTCCATTTCTTTATGCTCTTTATAGGCATATTTGCTCACTGCCAGACCTTTGGTGTGACCCAGCGTGGAATAAGTAAGCTTGTCATTTATTCTGCGGACAGACTAGATTAGCAGGATTCAGGCACTATAGCTGGAGGAGCTTTTTAAAAAAACTTACGGACTAAGGCCGGTGATCAATATTGAGTGCTTGCAAGTTACAGCACTTCTCAAACTTGATGTTTTTCTGGAAGTTTTGTTGCGTTCATTTCAGTTGCCAGAAACCATGAGAACAGCTCTAATGCACAAAGCTACACAACAACTATTTGAAGAAAATGAAGCAAGAAAGCACCGACAGATTAACTTTTACTTTATATAGCGTGAGTTACAGAAATAGGCAAACACCTGTAACTTCCAATGATGTACACAGAGTATTTATGCTTACAGACTATACCCTAGTTCTAGGGATGTAACAGTTCTAGCAATTTAGCAACATGGAACCAACAGTGACCAAGATTCCTTATTAAAAACTTTCTTATCAGACATAGACTGGAAATTTCAGGGTAACTGTAGGTAGTTGATCATTCCTAAATCAATGCTTATAAATGTTTGGGAGGAGTTGCATTGCTTTTAAGGGAAGGTGGTTAGTTCTTCAGCTACCTAATGTCATATGACAAAAAATAATTGCTTTTGATTTACTTTTTTCTTTACAGACCGCCAAATCCCATTGAATTTCTAGCAGCATATCTTTTAAAAAACAAGTCACAATTTGAGGACCGAAATTAACTCCATAAAAATGAGGACAATTTGGCTGCTAGACTGAAACGCTCATTTGCCGCAATTTGTTTTCTGCTGTAAAAATCCTTTGGAACCATGATGTTGTCTTTCTTAATCGCACAATTTGCTTTACCTTTTGAGTTATTTAATAAAGAACACTTTACGTTTAATTTGTTCACTTGTTTTAAACTGGCTATTAATAGACTTTCAAAATAAAGTACTGAAACTGCACTGCTGGATGAAAGTCTGAATGATTCCATGGGGCTACATCACCTGAACGCATGAAACAAAGGGGAACAATTTGTTATGAAAACAAATTATTTATTTATGTGTAATTTATTATGGGAATCAGCCAGACGCTCCTTCAACTCTTAACAGGCTTCATGCCATGACCGCTTCCCATTCTTAACGTCTTTTTCTGACCCCTTGTTTATATTTCCTGTAATCTCAGTAGGGGTAAAGGCTACAGACTTCAGGGTACGATATAAGAAGCTGCAACAGAAGACTAGGGATCAGAAGAAAAAGATAGAATTAAGCCACTAAACAATATGTTGTGAAAAAATACTAGCAAAGATCTGAAAATACAAATTTTGTAGCTGGAGAACTGGCTTGCTACTTTATTGGAAATGGGTACAGGGACTAGACACAGCCCTCAGAATTCCCATTTTTGTTTTCTGAAACTTGTAACAAGGAGCATAATCAATGTTCGCTAGCACTGGATACTGGAATCCAGATTAAGCATAGCCCAGTTTTGGGAGAATGACCACCGTTTGTTTGACAGTCACAGAAATAGTAAAAGTGGTTTCCAAGAATTGCTCAGATGATAGTCAAAATCCTAAATTTTTCTTCAAATAAACTTCAGTATTGCCATCTTACCATTCCCATCTCCATTCTGTGTTTCTTAGCTAATTGCTTTGATAAAGCAAGCAGTTAAAACCTTGCAAATTAAATTCTTTGCTGCAAGGGTTCGAGGTTTTTTCTGTGTGACATAAAAGGCTGCATAATTTTTTTTGTAATTATGCATAATTTCACAAAAAGAGAGACTTAGGACTCTCATTTGACTTGTTCCTGCAATGACATATGCTGCAAAGATATATGCTGTGTTTGCAGTATATTAGGTGGCCCACTGCACAAATCGTACTTAGTTCTCTGACATCTAGATGACTTTCCTGTGGTAATCTGAAGATTTTTTTGTTTTGTTTTAACATAGATTTTCCTCTTTAATAGCTTAATTACATGGGTGTGAGAGTGGCCAGAAGATAGATCCTTCAGAGGAAAAAACTTAACTTCTCAGTTGTCTGCTAACTTGCAGGGGCTGGAATGAGATCTGGCTGTTACTCCTAGTAGGAAGGCTCTCTATATTTTACATATTTCTTAATATCTTAATAGGGAAACACTGAATTAGTGCAGTCCAAGAGCAGCAAAAGCAATTGAAAGCAGCCTGCAAACCCAAAACTGAGCCTAAAAAGCCCTATTTTGGAAAATGTACAGAAGTTGTGGAATGAGATTACCAATTCTATTGCATTGTGGGGAACACAGTCTCCATCAAACACTGACACTTTAAAAAGACACTGAAAGGATTTTAACAACAGTGTTTTGACTTTCTGGAATGAGTAATAACATTTAAGTGAAGACAAGGAGACACCATAAAGACTTGGTACTGCTATTTCTGTTGCTAAAGCGGCATTCCAAGGTTTCATCCATAGGTGACAATATTGCAAGATGGTAAGAATTGTTAAATGGGGGGGGGGGGGAATAAATCTATGCTGCTCCCCAGTTTCTATGTTGAGAATTTGTGCAAGGCCTTACAAAAAGAACCAGTTCAACTATTAATCTTCCCTAGACAGAGCAATTTTCTTCTCTCGTCATACCTGAATTCAGAATATAATCAGATTTCTCAGCTTACAGTAACACCTGTCAAGCAGCTGCACAAAACCTGTAAACGCTCTGGCTTTCTGCACAGCTCTCGCGTCAGTCTAGAATCTCAAAGCATCGGTACCAGTCTTAAGGTGAGCTGTCCCTGCCAGCAGCATGCCACCGACTCAGCTGTTGGTGCCACCGTTTGGTACATGGTGTCACCTGCTGCGGTCTTCCCATCTAGGCTACTTCAAGAGAATGAAAAAGCTGCGTTCACAAGGTGATGATGTTAGAAGGTTCACCGCAGCAGCTTTTCTGGGCAGCTTCCTCCAAGAAAGTAAGTTGAAATGTTACTAGCAGCAGTGAACTCACCAGCTCTAAGAAATAAATTTTAGTGATTCTTGCAACAGTATGACAAGTCAAGAAAAGTGCAACCATATTCCTTTACTTGTTAAATTAGCTTGACCAGTTGGGATCTGCTGCATAGAGAATACTCTAACTGGAAGAAAATAGCAAGTTACTCTCTGAATAATCAGATCATATCTGAATGATCCAGTTCTCAGAGTTACGGGAGTAATGATAAAGTCCAAATTTTCAAAGCATTTACTTGTTTTAAACTCTCCCCACTACAAAACAATGACAATTCCGTGAAGAGACTTGACAGATGCTTCCTATCCCAATTTAATCCAGAAAGGACGGACTATTTTTCCGCAAGAAACACCAGTTCTGAGGGCTTCGAGATAATTGTATTTAATTTTGAAGTACAAATTAAAAACTAAGTGATTTTACATTTATAAAAATGAGGAACTCATCAATAAAATGGAGAACAGATGTAAGGGGCTACAAGTTATTAATAGATGTAAAATAAAAGCTTGAAGAAGTAATTGAAAATGGCAACTTTAGATGTATGACAGACCACTGCTAACTAGCTGAAAGCAATTATCTCTTGATTCTTGAAGAATTATTTTTCAGTTTTCTCCACACTACCCTAGGTAACTAAGTCAGTATCTGCTCCGTAGGGCATTAAATTTAAGTGGAAAATAAAACATAATACCCGGTTAACACCCCAGCACACCTTCCAAGATTACTATTTTAGATCCTATATCCAGAAGTTACCGTTCAGTAACTGTGAAAATTACATGTGACTCATATGCAGTATTTTGAAGTCTGCCTTTTCAAATGCTTCCACCGAGAACATTATCTTTTACCTTGAAGGGGACAGTGACAGAAGAAAGGATTTCCCACTAAAAGCAATTCTGATCAAAGGGTTCTACATCCTCATAGTCTGAAGCCTGTTACCACCTAAAAATACAGTTTGACTTGCCAAATCTTTTGTTTGCATCTCTGATTTATCAAGGACTTTCTCAAAAATCAGTACAGGTCTTTGAGCTATCAATTTTATTTGCTGAAGTGCTGTCACTATTGTAAATGCAGTCTGATCAAAAGAACTTCTCTCTCCCCAGGAGACTTTCTAGAAATAAAACAGCTGCTTTCAAACAAATGAAAATCTGAAAAATTCTGAAAGGTAGAAGCAATTGAAACCAGTAGGTTGGAAAGGAAACATAGGAGAAGAATCCCTATGCCTACCATGCTTGATAGAATACAGGTTTCGATTTATTCTTATCATTGTACTAATTACATAACAAATTATTCTTAGCCAAGCCTTAGCTTGTGTTCCCTCTTCTATTTCATAGTCAGAATTCATTTTAAGAGTGACTACATAGCCTACATGACAGAAGTACAGAATGCCAGCTGTTACAGAAAGAGGCATTTTATCATGATGAAAAAACTATCAGCACCGCTTCTGCTAATGTTCCCTATTCAAATACAGTTTTAAGCGAGGACTTCAAACGTAAATGTTGTGTGAATAATCGCGGGGCAGCTTACAGCACTGCTAGGGCAACACTGAGTAGGAAAGTGTCATATTCCTCTTCTCAACATGCTTTTCTCTCTCCGCTCAAAGTTTGCTTTGCAATTGTGCATAATAAACCAGTTTTCTGAGAGGAGCCTAAATTCACAAAAAGCTGCTGGGTGGTGGATGCTGGAGAGCATATGGCCGCCTTTTTTCTCTGGTGTACACTGAGGTATTTACAAGATGGATAATTACCCACAGATATTATCTCAGATGCTATTACGTTATACAGGAAGTGGAGATATTTCCTTTGTAAGGACTATGAAGTTCGGGGGGCCCTCCTTTTAACAGTAGAAGGAAGGACTGCTAGGAACAGCAGGTTCCTTAGACACAGAATGACTGTTTGTAAAGAGAAAAACCTACAGTAACAGTGAACAGCTTCCTGAGAAGGGAGGAGGCAGGAAGCGGACAATGTGAAAAGCACGATAGGAAAGAAGGCAAAATAAACCACGTGCAAGAGGACAAGAAGAGCAAAAACCAAGAAAGCAACAGACCTTGAAAGCTGGGCCAGCTGAAGACATGTGCCACCCAAGGCGGGCACAGGATGTTATGCAAGGAAAACCCTGCATGCTAAGGGCATGCTAACTGGCAAGTCACGCTTGCCACAATCTGCCTTCGTGCTTTTCTTCCAGGTAAGGAACAAACTGCCAACAGACATACATGTGTAGCAGTGGTCTGTGCTTCAAGGGCATGCTGATGTGGGGGACTGTCCATGCATTGTGTCGACTCTCTCCTGTACATCAGAGAAAAATGACTGAAATAATAGCTCTGAACAGCTAAGTGATCCTGTTACTTCTCCCCGTACAAACAGTGCTCGGAAGAATTACAGACAAAGCAGGAGGATCTCCCAACCTGACCCATGCTTCACAGCATTCAACAGAAAAACTGAAAGCTCAGCCCAGTTTCTCAGCCTGTGGCTAGAACCTTTCCATACCTCCATATCCTGAGCACCAGGAAGCGCAGCACCGCCATCTTCTATTTAACTGAAGAGCTGCCTGCTTTTCTGTTTCTGCCTCTTTCATTTATGTTATGTGGTACTGAGGGAGCGCATCACCAGCTCTTAAACAAAGAAACAACCACAATCAGGAGGTGATAGAAGTTTAAAACCAGGAACACACAAGTCACTCACCGCTGCTCAGTAGTATTATGTACACCTGTGACAGGGAACAAAGAAAGAGTCCTACTGTCACCCTTGCCAGGGGAAACAGCAGAAATTCCTCCTGTAGTACTACGGATGACAAGCTTTGGCCGGAACAGACAGAAACTGAGGAGGATGCCCTCCACCTTCACTGGGCTCTAGGCTGAGAGTGCTAGTTGGTAACAGAGAGGGACAGAGACAAAACAGGCTGCCACGGTCTTTGCGGCACGTGCCACAATCTAAAGATTAGGAAAAAAGCCTGTGCTTTCTGTGACCTGCTAACACTGAGCTGCCGTTGTTCCTCTGCATCTATACGGATACTAC